TACACATTATCATAATGAATATTTGACTAAAAAGAAAACATACATACCGGATTGTTTAAATGGATTAGTTGAATATATGATTCCAGATGACCATCTAAATAGAAGAAGAAGAAAAAAACTGATGCCTTCATTGTGTATAAATCAATCAGTAAATCTTACCGTGTTAAGTCGATAAAAATTGGGTTTTCATCATATTGTGATTGCTCTTTACAATAGGAATGTAATGTTTCATTAATAATTACGTTTTGTTGCATAACAACTTGTAAATAAAACAAAAATTTAATTAAACATGATAATATTTTGAGAAAAATTCTCTCATTCTTATACTTACAAAATGGTACACTATCAATATTTAGAAATTCTAATTCTTTAAGTAAAACGGTTGAAAACATACAAATGAGTATTACTTGTACATAGATACCAATACCATTTCCAAATAATTCCATATTAGATCATCAAGAAAATGATCTAATAATTTTTAATTATAGATATGAAACTAGAACACTTATAGACTATTTAAGAGAAATAGAAACCTTCATACATAATCCTATGATTAACTGAAATGATTAAAAAAAAGAAAGAGAGGAATACAAAAGCCTTATACAAAGCCTTTTTGTTCTCATTTAGAATTGTTTTCTCCACGATAATAATAATAATAATAATAATAGTGTGTTTATTTCAATCAAAATGAAGATTGATCCTTAAAAGAAAAGAAAAAAACTTACCATTTTCTTTTTACTTTTCCATTATCACGACATTCGGCTTTTGTTTGAAAAAAATTTTACTTCTTTCTTTTCTGTTCTATTCTTTGTTATGTAAGGGAGAGATAAAAGCCTTTTTCTAGTAATATTAGTAATCATAATAGTATATACTGTATACAATGATAGATTATTAAGAGCTCCCCTTCCCTCTCTATCCAAGTTAAAGATTGTTGTGTGAACATGTTATGGTAAAAATTTCAAATTAAAATATTAAATTATTCTATGGTTATAGACGTCAAATAAGCTCTTAGTACAATACATTTTGCTTGTATTTGCCAATAGCTACAACAATCGAACTCGTTTTAAACCAAGTTAAATATTGAAAAAAATCTAAAAATTGATCGTAGTAATATCTTCATTTTTCCTCTTCATTGCTTTTTACCATTCATTTCAAGATAAATTTTTCAAAATGTCAAAATGAGCACTTTTAGAGCTCAAATAAAATTAAAATATCTCCACTAAAGTATGCTAAATTTCTCGCACCAAAGATTGTGATCCGAAATATTGAATTTCTGCAGAGATATTCCAAAAATAAGGACTAGAAAGTGAGTGTTCGTGTGGCAAAGAGTTCTCTGCGATTTTGAGTATTGAAAAGTTTGCTGTGGTTTTAAGCTGTTGCTAAGATCTAGTGGTACAATTTAAAAAAGTCGGATTTTTGACATACTTTTTGATTAGTTTTCTCAAATCTTTTCTGAAAAAAGTTTTCGCTAACTTTTCGGAGAACTTCATTTATCTTAAAAAAATTCGGCTCTGCTAATTTGCAGCGTCAGTGCTTGACTACATTTTAAGACCACATCCAGCTTTTCAGTACACAAAACAGCGAAGAAATCTTTGCCTTACAAACAGGTATTACTTTAACAAACGATTTAAGAAAAACTCTATGCATTTGCTAGTATACTTTAGGACCTATAGGAAAAAACTTGTAAGCTTTTAACAGAATGTCAGACAGAATTGAACAATGTCTCATTTTGATCGGAAAAGGTTGTTTTACAAATCTACGTGTTTAGAAAATAGTTTAATTGCATAAATATAGTGGAAAAAACTTCAATTCGAATATTATATATTATATTTTTCAAGGTTTCCAAAGAACTTCCTCTGAAATTATGAAAATCTGTCTCTGGGACAGAATGCGATGCAGATTCTGAAAGTAAACACTTTGGCCTATGCACCCATGTATAAATCAATATTTTTGCTAGAATAGGCTTGTGACATGAAAATCCTATCTCAAGATCGACAGCACGGTTATTGTTAAATCTCAGTAGTTACCAGTTTTGAGCGATGTTCTTTCTGTCTTATTCAGAATTGAATGAACTCTATTTTAAAAAATCATTTAACTCTCCAGCTCGTAATCTGAAATAATTATTTAAATTTTAAAATTTTAAATTTCAACTTTTTTTAAAACTGCGCTCTCGGCGTTCACAAGTTAACTGGAACATTTTCAAGAACATGTCGTTTGATCCATCTACTGATCTATCTCAAATATCAAGTTATAGTTATTATGCAACATTGCCTCGAGAAGATCCATCTTCAGGATAGAGTTCGAAAAACTGAAGATACCTGGATAGTTGGTGACTTTTAAACCTTGGATAAAAACGGCGTATTGTAGTAAGATGTCAAAAACCTATGAAAAAATCCTAGAGAATGTTTGAAGATAACGATGAAGTCGTGTCCATACGTCACATGCGATAAAAATTAGACCAAATATCGAAAATACCAATTATAGTGAAAAAGAAGTTAAAATTTGTCTGAAGTTTTCTCGAAAACTCTTCAAAATCTGCTCAAAAATCTTTTTTAGATATTCAAAAACCATTAAGTTTTGTTGAGCTCTTCAAGCTCTATCGGTAACCATATCTTAAAATTTCATCACATACTTTTAAAGGGCCGAAACAGGAGCTAAAATATAGATTTTAGCATGTGGGCTTTGAACAAATCTTTAGA